TTTCCTCTTGCTTAGGACATAACAGAAAATTTGAGGAAAAAAAGTAGAGAACGAACACCAAATATTTGCAGGATAGCTGCAGAGGTCATGTAAAATGTTTTAACTGATTTTCAGGTCTTGATACGTTCTGCCCACAGCTCGTGGCCGGGCCGCATGTCGGGAAGGGAACACTCAGAGAACATCCAGCATCGGTGTGGACATTAATCGTAATAAACAGCTGAATATTCAAGTGTATCAGAAGGAAGAATCCAGGAAAAAACATTTTTAAAGTATTGCCTAAGTGTCTGACAGGAAACCAGTGCTTATGGATGCTCTGCGAGGTACGGCTGGTGCAGGCGGGACGGCAGGAAGGATCACTAAAGGTCTCTAACAGAATACTGCCCAGCCGCAGCGTCCCCGTCAGCACCTCCCAGCTGCTCCTTCCTGCCGGGACCCCGCCGCTGCTCTCACCGCCGCTGTCCCCCGACTTTCCCCCGCCATCCCCTACCCTGGCCAAGCATCCCGCGCCTGCCGAGAACACCCTGCGAGCGGTGAGGATGAAACGCAGCCTCTCTGCCCGGCTCCTGCGGGACGGGAGCGTCCCGTTTCAGCAGGAGTTTACGACAGGGCTGGGAGGGGTTCTGGGGTGCCCCCGCCCGGCACAGCTCGGCCTGCACCCCTCTCTGCTCCTCCGACTCGCCCGGGAGAACAGCGCTGCTCACACGCTTCTTCACCAGGAATGAATTATTCAGCCAGCAGTTCAGGCGCGTACCATGTGAAAGAGGTATCTGCCTACATATTGCTCTTGAATGCTTGTTAGTCGTAATTTGTTTGATTGGCCGAGATGAATAGGTAAACACCAACAGGCTGAACGTCCCCAACCGCTCGTATCAGCATTCCCTGCCCCTCGCATCTCCACGAGCATCTTTATCAGGAAAACCTCACCTGTGCAGATGCCGCTGGCGAAGGAGTAAGCTAATGAGCATTCTTTGGGCAAGTGCATTGGCTTTATTTGAATATGTGATCATAACTCGCTTTATTTTATTCCAGCTTTTCTATAGCTGAGCGGGAGGGTTTCCTATCATGCCAGCAGCACTCTGTTGAGGATTCCCGATCCCACCTTGCTGTGACTGTTGCTGCTATTAAATTACTGCTGAAAGTGGGGAATCATTCATAAAAAGTAAACAAATAATAGCATTAATGAAACCTGAGTGCCTAAAATGCATATTTTCACATATTTAAGGAGACAATTTATGTAATTCTTAATTAAGAAAAAGGGCAACATTTTTTTTTAATGTATTACTTCCCATAACCTTGGCACCTTAACACTAGCACTAACAAAATAAGAGAATGTGCTAAAGGCAGGATGGAAAAGACCATCCAGCAAACCCACAGTCTGCAGCTGCACGGCACAAGCGTGGAAGAGAGCAAGAGACGCATCGCTACGAATGGGCGAAGATGAAACCCGCCTCCAATAACCTTTGCAAACAGCAGCCAGCCCCGGGAGCCTGGCAGCGAGATTAATTTTAAATTCCTGGGGTGCCAATTACCAATACACAGAAGGGAACGCTGCATTTTGCTACTCAGCTGTGCCAATGTTTGAAAATTGTCTGTATCTGAGAATCCACATTTTCCCTGCATTAGTCACTGTGAGTACAAACAGGGTTTTTTCCTTCTTTTTCCACTGACAGAAAATCTGGTGCCATTTTGAAGGTCTCGGCGGGCGCAGCGTGGGCGCTGGCAGCGGCACGTCCCGCCGGCAGAGAAGCCCACGACCCC